TCTCGTTTACACGTGTTGAGCTTCACTGAGCACACCCATTCTTTCTCTGGAGCAGCTGTAGGACTAGGACTTGATCTGTCTACCAGTGTCCATTGAGTTTTAGATGATGAGACCTTAATGCTTTTCAATTTGACAGCATCGCTTTATTCTTGATGACTCTAAACACTCAAAGGTTTAGAAAGCATGTCACACCTGAGAGTCTGGATAGACACTGAGGTACATTTTCTTTTGGTTTTGGCAATTGCTTGGAATTTTCTATTTACTGCTTTTGTCCTTTTAGCATTTTTCCCCCCTGGTGGGCAGCAAAGCTTTGAAGTCTAAATATCAAAGGAATTAGCCAACAGCAATTCTCCTGGTACCACTAATTCGTGCTGCTCTTCACCTATCACGTTCTTACATGTGACAGATTCTGAGGTACCTATGGAGCTTCTCTGCCACCTCCACACCACAGTGTTTGTTTTTTCATTCAAATGTCAAGCCCTCACCTTCTCCGTGGGGTCAAACACAGAGTGCTCATCAGTCCAAACACATAGACATATAAAGTTTCTGTCCCTCAGAAAACTTTCCAAAAGGAAAAACAAGTAAATTTATAACATAGAATCCAAGACTGTGTGAGTTTCTATGAAACAAAGAATGAAAGAGTCATGTACTTCCACAGAAAAACAGCTTGAAGGGCCATCAGTCTGAACAGACACATGGGAAGGAGAAAATGTGGACTCATTGGGAGAAGCGGATTCAAATAGAGAGGTTTCAACTGTCCTGGCTCGGGAGGATCTGGGAAAAGGCTGAGACTCCGAATGAAACAAAAGGAAGCCACTGTGACTAAGGCTTGGGGGAGAGCGAGTATCACCCCAGATGAGGACATCAGTAACAGTAAACCATGGCAATAGCCAGAAAGAGGGCAACTCAGGACATATGCAAGGAAGGAGGGTGTTGGGAGGACCCAGAAGGAGGAGCACACTGTGTGAGTGTGTGCGTGTGTGCGTGTACACATGCACCATCACAGGAACAGTGACTCAAGTGTGTCAGTTCTAGGTGGCTTGGAAGAAGCCAGAAGTTTTCTATGCTCCTTTGGTTATGCTGGAGACAGGAACTAGGTAAGAGTGGAGGAGTCTGGAAAGAGTGCGAGAAATCCCAGAAGTATCTCCAAGCTTTCTAGAGCTTTGGAAAAGTAAAGAAAGGCAGACTATGAGGAACTACAGCCAGCAGGAGCTGCGAGAAGAGACTTCATTATTTCATTTTGATTTATGATTAAGTTCCAGGACGCATGAGGCAGGTAATTCCGAGAAACAGAAAGAATGCAGCCTCACAGAAAGGAACATGGTATGTTTCTATCTTATTGACTAAATAAAGGCTTAGAGGCATTACCTATTATTACTGAAGTGCTTCTTTGATGTTTCTACACTGTTACAACAGGTGAAGGTGAGGCCCTTCTCATATATACCTTTGTAAAGAAAAAGCTTTCTACAGACTCTAACCACTCATCCACACACATTTTACTTGGCATCTGAATGGCATTTGCTCTCCCATCCTCAAATTTAGATTGTCTCTGTTTCTTATTCTCTGCCAGGACCAAAAGTTTGGAAGTCCCTCCTCTACGTGGTTTCCTCATATTACTCAGAGAAGTAGAGGCCTTTGGACAACCCTGTCCCTGCAGGCTGATGGCTTGGGGAAGAGAGCAGAGTAGATGTTGGCTGTCTGCAGCTTTCATCAGTGCTATGAAGACTGAGAATATCATGAAAACAATGTAGCAATGGCAGAGCTCCATTGGCAGCCAACAGTCATAAGGCAAGAACAGTGAGGAGAGGACTTAATGTACCCAGCCTTGCTTCCTGAGAATGACTGCACGCTTGATACTGCTGCTGAAGCAGAGGGGCCTTTCAGGACCTCCCAGAGGAAAAGCTGTTATCAGTTCACTTGATGCAGCTATGCTTCCTTTTCTCCAACCTGTCTTCCAGGAGAAAACCTGAAACAAGTAGGATGCTGAACAGCCAGGAGCAGAAGCAGGCACTTTTCACCCCCATTACCAAGTAACAGGACTCAACAATGTTAAAATCACTAAAAGAATTTGGAGATGTTTTCTATCGGTTGTGGGAGTCTAGGCTCCTTCCTTCTCTCTCCTCCCTTTAGCACAGTTTCTTCTGCCAGCAGAAAGTTTAAAGGAATGAAGGAGAGAGCGACATCAATCGTGTGCTGTGTATTCACGTTCTGCACTCACACCAGAGTGAATTTACTAAGCAGTACAACATGCTAATTGTTCTTAAGGCCTTGAGAATTTTTTCTTCCCCCAAGAACTGATGAGAATGAGAATGTGTCAACACATTGCAATCTAAATAGTAGTACAGAACTATGCTATGGCCATTAGTGGGAATGCTACTCCATTTTCAAGAAAATGTGGAAATAAAATGGAAAACTCAAACTGTGAAACTGATAGCAGCAATAGCATAGATTGCAGATATGAGAAGGACTTTTGGGCTGGAGAGATGGCTCAGCCGTTAAAGGCTAGGCTCACAACCATAAATATAAGAGGACATTTTTTTTTTTTAAAGAACCAGGCACTGTATAAGAGTTTTACTTAAAAGATCATAATGACTTCTTCTTCTTCTTCTTCTTCTTCTTCTTCTTCTTCTTCTTCTTCTTCTTCTTCTTCTTCTTCTTCTTCTTCTTCTTCTTTGGAAAAATACCAAATGGAGGATGATGCTAGTACAGTGGGAGGACCCAGAGGACCTGGGGCCCAGGATTAGGAGGTCAAGGTGGCTTTTGAGGAGGGCAGAGGTCTTAGGGGCCATGGCATGTCTTGTCTGAGGCTGTGGGCATGGCCAAGGCCATGGGGCTCCTGGAGGTAAAGTTGAAGACAAGGAGTGGATCCCTGTCACCAAGCTGGGGCATCTGGTTAAGGATGTGAAGATCAAGTCCTTCGGGGAGATCTCCCTGTTCTCCCTGCCCATGAAGGAATCTGAGATTATTGGCTGTTTCCTGGGTGCATCCCTAAAGGACGAGGTTCTAAAGACCATGCCAGTGCAGAAGCAGACACGGGCTGGCCAGCGGACCAGGTTCAAGGCTTTCTTTGCTATTGGGGACTACAGTGGTCATGTTGGCCTTAGGGTTAAGTGCTCCAAGGAGGTGGCAACTGCCACCATCTTGACCAAGCTTTCCATCATCCCTGTGTGGAGAGGGTACTGGGGGAACAAGATTGGCAAGCCCCACACAGTTCCATGCAAGGTGACAGGCTGCTGTGGCTCTGTTTTGGTGCATCTCATCCCTGCTCCCAGAGGCACTGGCATGGTCTTTGCTCCTGTGTCCAAGAAGCTACTGATGATGGCCAGTAATGATGACTGCTATACATCAGCCAGGGGCTGCACTGCTACCCTGGGCAACTTTGATGCCATCTTCAAAACCTACAGCTACCTGACTCCTGACCTCCGGAAAGAGACTATGTTGAACAAGTCTTCTTATCAGGAGACTGATCACCTTGTGAAAGAAAACGCATACCAGAGTCTCTGTTCAGAGGACCCAGGCTCCAGCTGTGGCTACCACATAAGGACTTTTATACAAGAAAAATAAAGTGAATTAAATCTGGAAAAAAAAAAAGAGCATAATTAAACACAAACTGTTTCATTCAAATATTACGCTTTTTATTTTTTAATTTTTAAATACAGGGCTGTATAAGTTAATTTCACTAATTTGACCACCTAATTTTACTGTTTCTCTGCATGGACTTGTCATGAAGCAGTACAAGAGTCCATACAGACTGACAAATGATATTTATCTCTTACAATCAAGATTGCTGACCTGGGGACACCTTTATATCACCACTTTAAGGGTGCTTCTGTCTGAGAGCTTTGGGCTGCATTTCCTGAAGCCTTGCCAGTAGGAGAGTTCTACAGAGTTCTTTAGGCTGCTCTTGAATGGTCATTCACTTTCCTCCTAACTGTTTTATCATGTATTCTGATTTTAAGGAATTCAGTTTGGTCTTTTATGCTCTAGGGAGTGCTAATTCTAAAATGAGCGTGAAAAATACAGAAGCACAGCGAGAAACACTGTGGAAGAAGGTTTGTGTCTGGGACTCACCCAGATCCACACAAGACATGTAATGAAACTGACTAGAACAAGAACAATTACACATACAATGAGATTAACCAATGGAGCACAGGCCAAGAAATGGAACCCGGAACACAAGGGTATACCACAAAAATGAGCTCCTAAGTCACCAGGAAGAGATGTGCTGATTTGTAAAACCCACATCCTAGAAAAATTAAGTTGGACGCAAATTTTCCATAAAGCATGAAAACAACTCGAGGGCAGGGCAATTGGAAAGACACTGAAATGGTGAAGCCGTAAAAGAACGAGAGATGCTTCAAACTATGGCGAAGGTCTTTTGACCTAGGTTTGAGAATCAGAGGCCAAAAGAAAAGGCCGAGAAATCCAAAATAAAACCGGAATTGGCATGGCCTAAGACACAAAAAGCAAAGCTGAGAAAGCGTGAGTAGAGTGGGTGAAAAAGTTGCAACTTCTATTAGAAAGTATATGTGAATTTCTCTTAAGAGACTTTCAGAAGTCGGTAAGAAAGAGACAATACAATAGAAAACTGTGTGTCTATGATGCAACAATTTACAGAATACACATTATTAGTACATATTTATACAGGAAAACATGCTTAACTTCAGTCTGAGATTTGCAACTGAAAAGAAATAATGTGATGTTTTTAGACAGCAGATGGGGATGACTTCAGTTAAGGCAGATAAGGAAGAACCCTGCTAGAGGGACGTAGAGAAACTTTATACGTGAACTATTCATAAAAATGTCATCTACTTGCACAAAGTACAATATTCGTGGGTGCTATTTATTCAAAATTAACAAAATGAATATTTGTTCTAAAATAGAAAACTATATTTTGCTTGACAGTAACCAAAAGGTAACTTGTTAACATATGTGAATTAAAGACAAATATTTACTACTCACACATGCAGGGCAGCTGGATATTGTCTCCTCCATCCTCCAAGTTGATCCCTTTCATGAAACAGTGTCTAAAGAGAACCCTTTTCCCTAGATCATCGGCCTCATCAGAAGGGTGTAGACACAGAATAAGTTCCTCACCATTAACTTGAGTGTTATTGCATGCAATGGCTGACCCTGCCTAGAACACTCTGTACCCCCAGTGCACTTGTCTGCTTTCTCAGATGTCAGAGACAAGATGCAGAGAAGGAAGAACGGACAGGGTGGGAAGGGGCTGAGGCATGATGGGAAGGGACTGAGGTGGGATACAGGCCTAGAGCTTTACAACTGGTGCAAGCTCAGATGCTCCAGTCAACCTCAGAAGCACGGACAGAAATGAGGCACCACGGGGTAATCTAGTCTGCAGAAGAGGAAAGACTGGGCTCAACCAGCTAGTCTCCAGGCTGAAGCAGAATGGGAATGAGAAACAGAAAAGGAATGAAACATCAGTTAGAAAGGCAAGTTTGTCCACACAGGACTGGGACACCTACCAGCCACTTCTCATATTCACTGAGGGCTTGTTTGTCTTTGTCTTTCTTCTCTGCTCTCTTCAGCTCCTCTTTTCTCCTCTCATTTATTTTCTCCTTTTCCTTTTGCTTGAGAAGAGCCTCCTTCTTCTCAGTCCTGTGTAGGAGAATATGAAACACTGGGAGGTTAAAGGAGAATATACAATGGAGATCCCCTCATGTAGCAATGGAGATCCCCCCTTTGGAAGCAATGAGCTTGAGAGGCACAGGAGACTGCAAGCAGCAAGGCCTAGGAAAGCCTAAGCGTTAACTTGAAACCACCGAACTGTGCAGCATGTGGGATTACCATTTCTCAAAAGCAGTTAAATTGTCTTTCTTTTTCTCAGCGACCGTTTCTTCTTCTTTCTGTTTCTTTGCTCTTTCATATTCTTTCTCCTTCCTGCTCTTCTCTTTCAGGTACTCCAGCTTTTTCTCTTTCCATTTTTCAAATGCCTAAGAAAGTTCAGAGTGATTTTCTTACTTGCCATGGCTTTTCTGAGATGAAGGCAAGTACAAAGGTCTTCATTCAAGCACAAGCACTGACAAGAACTGAGAGCAGAACCGGGGCCTGAGGGGCTCACCTGCAGGGCCTCGCCTTTCCTCACAGCATTTTCTTCTTCCGTTTTCTTCTTGTTTTTCTCCTCCAACCTTTTTTTTGCAGCTATTTTCTTTGCCTCCTTTTCTTTCATAGCCTTCCAGGCCTCAAACGATGCTAATGCTTCCTCTCTCTTAGCAGCTCTTTTCTATTTGAATAAACAAAATAAACAAATGAGAAAATAAATTAGCACACATCTGTTTCTTGACATGAGTACAGGCACAGACATAAATATTCAAATATGTATTTGCTTTAATCTCTCAATAGTTGTCATGCAAAGAAGGTACAAAGCAGGTAATTTATTTAGAATGATTCGCACAAGTTGATTTACAAAAACTGTTCACTGCTTTTGACAATGTCAAAGCACTTATCAGGTTGACCTATTTAGTAATGAGAAAAAGCATCTATTGACTTTGGGATTTTGCTACATAAACGTTTTCAAAATAACCACAACAGGCTAATTGGTACCATAAACTGTTTAGTTAAAATGTATCACAGAAGTTTAAAAGCTTAGAAATAAGGTAAGTGGCCAAGGCACACAGTGGGCACAGATGTCCAGTTTGATCCAGTTTTTGATATCACAGTATAACTTCTCTGTAACGTGAACATATACCAAATGTCAAATAAGGGCTCACACTGTAAAACATGTGAGGGCTGCACTGCAGCCATGTCATGGACTTCCTGAACCTACTCTAACTGCACTAAGGCCAGTATTTGTCCTCAGATACTGTTCAACCCTAGAAGACATAAGATGGCATCATGAAGGTGATAATTCAGAAGCAGGAGGACCCGAGGGCATACACAACAGTGTGGAGAGCAGAGGCGCAGCCCCTGGAGGCCACTCCACAGAGGCTGGACTGAGGGTGGCTCCAGTGCCCAGCATTTCAGGAATGTTTTCCTGTCCACCTACTTAAGTGTGGGTCAGTACATGAAGAGGGAAAACATGAAAGATCTCAGGCAGGTGAGAGGAACAGAGTGAAGTGACAGGAGGGGCTGGACAAGGGTCTCCTGCTGTGTGTGTCAGGAGCCACAGCAGGTTGGTATGGACGGCAGAACGGAGGAAAACTGAAGTCTGTATACTGACCATGTTCTTGGCTAAACTCTAACTGAAGTCAGTGTCTGCGACTGAATTTGGTGGTCACACAAATACTAGGGCAGCAGCCAGCCCTGCGGAATCTAAACTGTGCATATAAAACCTGAAATGTCTATATAGGCAACATTTGTATTGAACCCAAACAGAAAAAATGACATCAGAAATCAGTGCATCCATCCATACATTTTACCACCTTAAAGTAGTTCTTTTGATAATATTAAACATCCAGAGATATCTTACTGACAAAAATATTCTTTCTTTTATGATACCTGTTCATTTTGAATCCTTAAGTTTTCACTTTCAATTCTTTTTATTCTGTGCATTTCATGTAAATACACATTTTTCTTTTCTAACCACTCCTGTGAAATTAAAAAAAAAAAAAGTTATAAACTACAAGGTGCCCAAATGACTTAGAATTTTTATCTACTGAAATATTCGTTTAAGGTTTAAAAAAGAAACCATGAAATTAATATATTTCATCTAAAACAGTATTTTCATTCCAATAATATTGTAAAACATGAAGATGAATGTTCCTGTTTAAGGATATCATGTGTATCATCTTTTTTGTATTGTAAGACTTCAATGATTTAATATAATGGCTAAATATATCAACATTTTACATTGAAATTCAAGTGTAAAATTTTCCAAAGTAGATTATATTCTGTGTAACAAAACAAACAAAAAAAAAAAAGAGCTTTCTTGAAACTGCAAAAAAAAGTTAGGAGTCTGCGGAAGTCTAACGAAGTCTCAGGAAAGAAAAACTTTAAAAAAAAGTTTTGTTGATTATGACCAATATAAACTTTCAGAAGAAACAGAATAAAATGTGTGTTGATTTTATAACAGACTGGCTTTACCTATATTTCTATAACTTACAACAGTATCTTCTCTTTTCTTAGAAAACATAATTTTTATATTTAAAGAAAACGTGGCAGCAAAAATTTCAGAGAAATCCTTGGGATTGCGCACACACTTGTAAGAAGAAAATCTTTCCCAGTGACAGTGCGCATCCAGCCCTCATTTCTGATGGGCCCCGTATCCTGATGAGCAGTGCTGCAGACGTGAACAGTTCTCATTTAATGCTTCCCTTTACCTGATAAACAGCTGCCCGTATGTGATCAGCCTTGTCAGGCTCTAGGCTCTGCTTCCGTGATGGCTTCTGGTCCAAGACTTTCAAAGTCCCTAAGTAGTGAGAAGAGGTAGTTGCAGATGGACTTCTCCTTGTGGGACCGGATCTCTTTAAAAACTCAGAGGTCATCAGCCTGCAAAGTTCCAAATGTGCCGAGAGCACGACAAAATGAAACCAAATTGTGACAGAATGTAATAATTACCTTGAAAATAATCCAGTTAAAATAACTCATGTTTTCTTAGTTCCACTCAATATAATTTAAACTTTGTAACTTTGAACTAGAGTTCTCTTTTTAGATACTTATAATTAAGAGCCTTTTAAAGAAACATAGACTGCATCTCAAATTATGAAAATATCGACCAGGTAAGTTTTAATTACTTTGACTATGTTATTGCATTATTTTGTCATTTGTTATATTCTAACTATAAATTGAGAACAAGAAGACCTGAGTTTCAGGTGTTTATGGGAAAACCTGGCCTGTCTTCTCTTCTGGTAAATAAGGTTTACTGCACAGCAGCTTATTTGCATATTCTCCTCCCTCCTGAGGCTACTATGGCAGAGCTGAGAGCTGAAGGCAGGCGTAGAACTGCCTGTAAGATGTACAGACCTATGGGCCAAAGGAGGCTGGTCCTGCTTCATTTGACTAAAGATTTAAAGGGATCAGAATGTTTGCCAAGCACTGATGAGTTAGCAATAGCAATGAGCAGAGTAGGGACGATCAGCATTTCTTCTTTTTCTTCTTTAGTTTCATTTGAGACAGGGTATCACTGTGTAGCCCACTCTTGCTTTGAACTCACACAATCCTGCTTCTGTGGTGCTAGATTATGTGCCTACATGCTTAGCTTCAGAGTCTTATAATTTTAATAAACCCATTTATCCCATGGAAATTGTCCAGTTTTTTTCCTGTGTTTGACAAAAACACTTACTAGAACAAAAGTGCTGGTCTTTGGCTTTACGGCTATTTGTACATGCTGTCTCATCAAAATACAGAAGCATTAGCCACAAAGCTGTGCAGTGAGATTAGGACAAAAAAAACGACCAAAACCAAACCACACAGCTGGAGAGAAAAACCTGAAGAATACTGCATAAAATGATGGTTTTCTACGAGAGAGGGAAGGCGACCTTCATGGAGCTTCATCGTGAAGTATCTATCCATCTGACAATGGAAAGGACTAGAGCAATCCATGACGGCAAGTGAAGTTTGTTCCATGGAGTCCAGATTAGGGGGAGTTTTGCTGCAATAAGAGCTCCTGTGTAATGGCGTTAGTGACCTTTACCTGCCAGAGGCACTGGACACTCTGCTGTTGGGTGACTTTCTATTCTTCATGTTTCTGTCTTCATTTGTTTTCTAGTAGATGGAAAACACAGAACCAGGTTACTCACATGACTGAGGAAATTAGGAACCATCTAGTGAGGTGGTTCTCAACTTTCCTAATGCTGTGGCCCTTGACTATAGTTCCTCATGTTGTGGGACCCCAACCATAAAATTATTTTCATTGTTCCTTCATGACTGTGATTTTGCTACTGTGGTGAGTCATAATGTAAATATTTGAAATGCACATGGCCTTGGGCAAGCACTGTGAAAGGGCTGCTTGACCCCAAAGGGATGGAGACCAGCAGGTTAAGAAGGGCTGATCTATTGTGTCAAGCGCTTTAGACACTGGGGTGGGTCAGGATACTCTCAAAGTCCCTAAGCATCTTTAGTATGACTGGCAGCATCACAGAGTGGTACGGCTCCTGGAGCAGACAGCAGTGGACAGTGAGTGAGTGGAATGGGACTAAGGGGCTGCTCAGGGGAAGCTGACCTGAGGAGGGCCCTGGAGGCGGGATGTGGGCTGGGAGGCAGAGTGGAGCACGATGTGGTCTACCGGAACAAAGAAAAGCTCAGGTGCTTAGATGTCCTTGACAATGCACATGGCTACTTGATGCAGAAGCTTAGGGAGAGAGGAGCAAGGAGCACACCTGGGTGGTGGTAGGGAGTACTATGCCACCCTCATGGCCAGGAAAACAAATCAACTGTCACAGGGGGATTGCTGGGCTCAGAGTAGGAAGGGCACTCACAGAGCATGAGAGCAAAACCCGAGGTCACCTCACAAGAGAATGAGCTTACTGTTGTGGTTAAACTGTGTATTTTAATTTACGCTTGTCCCTGCTCTATATAATTTATAATGTATAATTTACAAAGGCCCTTTTGCTTGTTAGATGCAATTCTCTATTCCACGGCGGGGCTGGCTTGGCAGAGCAGGGAGGGTGTCGGTGTGAGCACAGCCCTCCTGGCGGCGGGTTTTTGCACTGTGGCTTCAGGAGCCTCCCTGACATGGGAGCAGAGTTTGCATTGGTAGCGTGTTTGTGTTTGTCTTATGTAAGGCACCGGGGAGTTCTGTACTATCTGGGGCAGTTCTTAGCTACTCATCGTGGCTAGGCACAGACATTAATGATAGAAAGCTGCAATAGACTAAGATTAAACTAAAAAGAAATAAAGACTCACATTGCCACACTGTACAGTTTAAAAGCTCAGTAGTCTGACAGATCTTATCATAAAAACCATAGTTACCCCACAAAACATAAATCTATTCCTAACATTGTAATGTTCCTGATGATGGTTCTGTTCCTCCAGGTTAAAAGAGACAGACATTGAATAACACTTCTACAAACTTTCCTTTTTTCCTTTCCCTCCTTCCTTCTACCCCCTGCCCATCTGTTTCTCTAGCTCTCTCTGTTTTTGTCTCTCAATAGGGTCCCATGCAGCTTAGATTGGCCTGAAAGTCACTATGCAGCCATGGTGCTCTTCAAACCTTTCCTTGTATGACGTGATATTAAAATTTCACCAGTGTAATATTTCTGTAGCTGTTCTAGACAGTTGCATTTTTATGGTCTGATCTAAGGAAGCTTATATACTTGCAGACACATACACTATACCATTCTGAAGTATTTTAAATTATATTACTATGCCTGACAGTTTCCTAAGAACACTTGGCTTCACTCTACCAAGAACAACTTTCCTTGGAGCTGAAATTCAATTGACTGGAATAACATCTACTGAAAAATACAATAGCACTATCAAAAGATGCTCTCCCCAGCTAATACGGGAGGTGTGAAGATAAAACAAGATACTTGATGGTTCTATTTCATGCGTGAAGCTGCAGTGCAATGCTATGCATTATGGCTGTACCTTGGGGGGCTCTGCCAGCTCAGTAGGTGTTATGACACTCGGAGATGTGGAGAGCAGCGGGTCAGTGGTGAGGTCATCATCTGTAAATCCAGCCTTCTCTCTTTCTTCTTCAAGGTTGTCAGCTGCCACCTGGTCTTCCTGGGGCTGCTCACGCTCAGGAGTAACACACTTCACCAAAACTGAACTTTCTTCATTTTCATTTGATATCAAGGAATCCCAGACTTCAGTAGTTTCTCCATCATTATCTGTTTAGAGGCAGAGCGACAATCTTTCTGATTCCACAGCATGCATGACAGATTCATTCAAACAAGTGTTATCACTTTTTAAAATATTTTGTTTTTAAGTGCATGTGTGTTTGTGTGTGTGTTTTAAGCGTGTGTGTGACCATGAATGTATGAATGTAGGTGCCCTTCTCAGAGGCCAGAGAAACCAAAATTCCCAGCTGCGTGATGTGCGTGTGGGAATATGTGCTTTAAACTGCTGACGCCTCTTTCGGAAGAAGGGATTACATAGCGGAAGCCTGACTTGAACCACTGAACAGCTTCCTCTACCTCCTAAGTGCTAGAAGTATAGGTATGTCCCATGATGCCTGCATAATCTCTTTTTTCTTATAAAACACAAAACTAGCCAATGAAATTTGAACAGATTTATCAGTGTAAAAATGCTTATTCAATCTAATTAAACATTTTACAAGCCTCACACTTAGGAAATACAGTATATGTGTAATCAGAATGGAATAATTACCACCAAGTAAAGGAGAGGGTGGGGATGAGCAAATGAAGTAACTGAGACTGAAATATCCATTCAGTTAAAGCCCGCACATTTGAAGCTAAAAGAGCATGCTGGGCAGGCAGAAGGCCACAACTCCACAGCACTGTAGGCAGCAGCAGCAGATGAACCACACAGAGAGAAGCACAGTGGTGGTTTGAACAGGAATGGCCCCGTAGGCTCATGTGTGTGAATGCTTGGTCCATAGGGAGTGGCACTGTTAGTAGGCGTGGCCTTGTTGGAGTGGGTGTAGCTTTGCTGGAGAAAGTGTGTTGCTTGAGGTTTCCTAAGCTCAGACTCCGCCCAGTGTGGCACACAGTTTCACTCTGCTGCCTCAGGATCAAGATGTAGAAGTCTCAGCTCCTTCTCCAGCACTATGTCTGCCTGCACCCTGCCATGAGGACACCATGAAAATAATGGACTAAACCTCTGAAACTGTAAGCCAGCCCCAGCTAAATGTTTTCCTTTAAAAGACATGCTGTGGTCATGGCCTCTCTTCACAGAAATAAAACCCCGACTGAGGGTAATTCATCTGACACAGAGCTCTAGGCAGGCTCAAGCCAAAGAAGGCACCCAGGCCTTCCTGTTGCACACTCAGGGCTCCTCAACACAGGCTCAGGCTCTCCATAAGAGGACTAAGTTTGGCTTTCGCATAATCACTCTTATACTGACTCTGGGGCACTTTGGGGCACCGAACAGAAGGAGCCTGAAGGCCCTGTGGCATAGCAGTTTTGACTTCCACCAAGATCTAACTTTCAGTCACTGAAATGTCTTAATTTGGCTGCTTTCATTATGGCTCTCTGGGGAGGGGGAAATTTTAGGGGGTAACTGTGTTTAGTAATCACTTCATCAGTTGCTATGTTCTCATTTGAAGAGTATCCCTGACTCAGTTCATTGTTGGAATCTTGCTGTGAAAAGAACAAGGACTAATAGTCAAAGAGTCAAACTATGTCTCCGTCACTGACCTTAAGTCTGTGTCTCAATATCTGTGCACTTCAGTTTTTTTTAATCTGCAAAATGACAAAAAATTACACTATATGGTAAGTACTTATCCTTATTTGCCTCTGTGTTACTGTGATAAAACACTGAGCAAAACTATCTTGGGAAGAAAAGGCTTTATTTACTTCTATGACCTAGTCACAGTCCACCCTTGTGGGAAGCCAGGGCAGAAGCTCAGGGCAGGAACTGAGGCAGAGCCCATGGATGGATCCTATTTACTGGCTTGTACCCCATGGCTTGCTCATCTTGTTTCTTATACCACTCATGACCACCAGTCCAGGGGTGACATCACCCACAATGGGCTGGTTCCTACCACATCAGCCATTAATCAAGTAGACAAGCCACAGGCTTGCCTACAGGCCAATCCAACAGAAGCACCTCTCCACTGAGATTCCCTCTTCCAAGTCCTGGCTAGGTATGTGCCCAACGGAAGCACCTCTCCATTGAGGTTCCCTCTTCTGAGTGCTGGCTAGGCGTGTGCCCAACGGAAGCACCTCTCCATTGAGATTCCCTCTTCTGAGTGCTGGCTAGGCGTGCGCCAGGCTGACTGAAGCTAAGCGCACAGTGCTGAGTGAAGGAATGTTGGCCCCACAACCCAGTCTCTGGAACCCAGTTCTTCCTCTTGGCTGCATCCTGCTACATGTGCTACAATACTGGAAACAGAAATGGCGTTAACAGCGCACACCTCACATCTAATATGTCTTACTCTGGCACTGTTGTCGGGCTTTTTATGCATTACTAATTTTTAAAGTTCTCACAACTTATTACTAAGAATAACTCACAGGCCCAGAGAGGCTAGCTACTCTGTCCATGTGACTCTGCCTGGATAAACAGTCTGGGTAGCCATTATGCTAGGTTGGACTGCATGATTAAAGCAACACACACATAACATGGGCTCACCTTAAATGATGGCTGCAGTTGTCTCTGACAGTCTGCTAGATGCATAAAAGCACCCTAATACTTAACTTTTACAACAGCCCTGAGAAAGGAGTCAGAGGCCCTGCCAAATTAACTCCTGTATTCTAAAGCCACCCAGTCAGTGCAGTCAGGATTAGAAGTCACAGAAAAGCAAACACAGCTTTCCCTCAAATATACAAAACATCATTTCCCCTGCAGACAGGACACCAAGTATCCAGAGTTGACAAACACGGTATTGGAAGAGGTGTCACTACCTTTTATGGATGCCTTTTCCTGAGATCCGGGAGAGGTGCAACTTCCAGGGCTTTCTTTGAGGGAAGATGAGGTCAGGCTTTGTAAGAGCGAGTCCTAGTAAAAGAGTATTTACCACATAAGGTTAGCCCCAGGACTCCCAGAGGCAACAGGATCATTAACACTGTTGTCTGTGCTGGAAAGATGGCTCAGGACCTCACCTCAGCTGCTAGAACCCCTGTGGGCAGCGCGTAACCACCTGTAACCTCAGGTCCTGAGGACCCCACGCTCTTTTCTGCCCTCAACAGCACATGACAAACTCTCAGGAAGGAAAACCAGGGGCCAGCAAGATGATGCAGGAGATGAAGCACTTGCTGCACCATGCTGGCCTCCTAAGTTCAATCCTCACAACACACGTGAGGCCCGGGGATTTAAGTTCCACAGCCTCACCCTGTGTCCACTCTGCTCAAGCCGCAGCAGGCGGCACAGAGGCAACAAAATCAGTAATAAATGCAATGTAAAACAAGACAGAAATAAGAAAGAAAAACACTTAATGGTCCAGATGTCTCCATAGAGAAGATTCCAGTCTCAAATCATTTTACCGCTGAACCTTCTAATTTAACTTTTCACAACTTTGTGTTTCGTAACACACTTCTAGCCAATTAAGAGAGAAAACACAACAATGGATTCACAATAAATAATTGCATTTGACATTCAAGCTTGATTATAACAGCTTGAAAAATAAAAACTCATACAGCAATTTTCTTCAGATATATAGAGCTGGAAGGTTTAACAAATAGTAACAAATCAGGTCGGGTAGCGGTGGCGCTTGCCTTTAGTCCCAGTACCTGGGAGGACAGCCTGGTCTACAGTGAGTTCCAGGACTGCCAGGGCTACACAGAAAAACCAAAAAAAAAAAAAAAAAAAAAAAAAAAAAAGGAACAAATCAAATCAGAACAATTACAATGCTTTCATCAATCAAGACTTAAGCCAGAAACATGTGTAACTGACATGAACATCAAGCACGCACAGGTATGCATGCCAAGGAGAAGCGAGGAGCATGCAGAAGATGCTAATGTCCCTCACTCTTGTGTCAGTGTCTGGTGTGATGTCTGACGCAGACGAGAAGGCAAAGTGTTAAGTGAGAGCTTACACAAAGATGAAGGGCTTGAGCACCGCTGACATACGTGTGACCAGTGAAGAGATGGCGTGTTCTATTACATGGGAAATGACATGAGAGTGACCTCAAGGAGGAGTCAGAGCATAGCCAGGGAGCCTACGGTAGGGAAGAGCTGGCAGAAACAGCGTCCAGCAGGACAGTCATCCACCATTTTGGGCTATGTCAGCGCATGAGAACAAGGCCTCAAGACTACCTCACGGTGCGGAAGCACTCCATGCCTTACAGCCTGATGACAAACACAAGGAAAGCAGCCGGAAGGGAGGACAATGCTCGCTCAGGCAGGGGGCTGGGTATGTTCCTGGCAGATTTGTGTCATAATATGACGCAACTTAAAAAGGGGGTGGCACACACATCACATACATTTTAAGTCAGAGACATGAAAATACAAGGAAACATGACAGTTAAAAATCCACACCTATATAAATGGTGCTCCTTTCACCAACTTATGTCCACCCAGGGTCCTCCATTCGTAAGTAGCAAGTGTATTTGTAGTTACGATGAAGACATACTGTCCTAACTCTGATAGTATATGTTTTAGGAAAAGAGAGATACAGATGCACAAGGCAAGGTGATGAAGGCAGAGTGGTGATGCCTCCTTAGACAGCGAGGGCCAATGCATGCTGGCATCCACCAGAAGGTGCCAGAGACGAGAACAGAGGCCCCTTCTAGGGCAGTAGGCAGACTGCCCTGACATCTAGATTTCAGAACAGGAAAACAAAAAGTGTTCCTATTGTCATCCTCCTGACTTATGGCAGATTTTTCCAGCAGCTACAGAAAACCAATCCCTCATTCAATTGAGCGCATAAAAATCACTGTTTTGGGTTCCTCTCTTGATTTTTCAGAAGAAATTAAGAACTAGCCAGAGGCATGCCACGCGAGATCAAAACTGTGTGCTCTAAAGGAGCTGTGATCCTGGGGTCTGACTTAGAGGCAGAAATGCCTGGCCTCAGGTACCGAGGCATGTCCACACCCTCCCCACACACCCACACTGCAGAGGTGTGGAAAGAGTGGGAGACTCAGCCAGGCTGCTTGCAGCTCACCCCCCGGGTCTGCCAAAGCAGATTATGAACGAAATGTACTTTCCTGAGACGTGAACAGGAAGGTGGTTTTTTCATAGTAAACCACAAAGAGAGGTGACAGGTGACCTCCCTGGGGACACTGTAATTGTATCTCATCATGGAAACCTGGGAAATATCAGGTCCCACAGGACACAGAACAATACCCTGAGAGGGAGTCCAGCGAAATGAAGGAAATGAACTAAACTGTCCTTAGCAAAAAATTGTATGAGGAAAGAAAAACAAATGATCACATAAATTATTATAATTCAAGATAGGCAATATTACAAATACCCAGAAAAGCAAAATTATTTTAACATTTTACCATCTCTGAAATGGATGGAACTAGAAAAGATCACCCTGAGTGAGGTAACTCAGAACCAGAAGGACACACATGGTATATACTCACTTATAAGTGGATATTAGCCACGTAATATAGGATAAACATATTAAAATCCACAGACCTAAAGAAGCTAAATTGGATGCAAGTGGCATGTAAATTCATCGCACATATACACACACACACACTATAGGTCTGACCTGAAGAACAACTCAATAGTTCCACATTATACCAACCTCAAGATCAAGGTTTCCGGAACACACTTTTTCCTCAGTTTGCAACTCCGTGTCATTCTGCGTTGAAAGAAAAGGTGTGGGGGCAGAGTCTTCGCTCATGGAACGTTCTTTATCAGTTCCTGGTCTGTCCTCCTCCTCACTGTGGCTGCTCTTCTTTAACATGCTCCTTGGCCGAGGCGAAGGCTTCGAGTGGCCATCAGCTTCAAGACTGCTGCTCTTTTCCCCTGAGAAAGGAATGCTTTCAGGTGGGTGTATCAAACTGACCACAGCTTTAGCAGCCCTTAGAGATGATGCCACAGTGCTCGGGGTGTCCAGTGAGCCCACAAGTCTCCACAAGCTCCAAGGCAGCACAGGGAGCAGAGAGTTCATAAGCAAAATCGAAGAATTGTTGCCATCTGTAATTAGCTAGTCTAATTCAGTTTTATAAAAACCTAATTTCAATTTTATGAGTTCTTATAATATTAAAAAATATTTCAAAACAATAAACTATCACACAAATTTCTCTGTATGGAAACAAAACCCAGAATAGCTAAAACAACCCTATACAATAAAAGAGCTTCTATAGTTATCTCCATCCCTGATCTCAAGCTGTACTATATAGCAACAGTAATAAAAAGTGCATGGTACTGGCAGAGAAACCGACTGGTGGATCAATGGAACTGAGTAGAAGACCCAGAAATAAACCCACACTCCTATGGACACTTGATTTTTGACAAAGAAGCCAAAACCATACAATGGAAAAAAGATAGCATCTTCAACAAATGGTGCTGGTCTAACTGGATATCTACATATAGAAAAATGTGAATAGATCCAAATTTATCATCCTGCAAAAAAACTAAAATCCAAGTGGATCAAAGACCTCAAAATAAAACCAGACACACTAAATCTGTCAGAAGAAGAAGTGGGGAAGAGCCTTGATCTCATTGGCAGAGGAGACAACTTCCTGAACAGAACACCAACAGCACAGGCTCTATGAGCAACCATCAATAAATGGGACCTCATGAAACTGAAAAGCTTCTGTAAAGCAAAGAACACTGTCATCAAAACAAAACAACAGCCTACAGACTAGGAAAAGATCTTCATCAACCCTATTTCTGACAGAGGGCTAATATCCAGAATATATAAAGAACTCGAGAAATGAAACACCAACAAACCAAATAATCCAATTAAATATGGAGTACAGAGCTAAACAGAGAATTCTCAACAAAGATATTAAATGGTGGAGAAACACTTAAAGAAATGCTCAACATCCTTAGTCATCAGGGAAATACAAATCAAAACTACTCTTGAGAGTCCATCTTATACTTGTCAGAATGGCTAAGATCAAAAACTCAAATGACAACACATGCTGGAGAGGATGTGGAGAAAGGGGAACCCTCCTCCATTGCTTGTGGGAATGTAACCCTGTAAAACCAGTTTGGAAATCAATCTGGCTTTCTCAGAAAACTGGGACTAGCTCTACCTTAAGACCCAGGTATACTACTCCTTGGCATATACCCAAAAGATGCTCTACCATACAGCAAGGACTATAGTCGTGGCAGCTTTATTTGTAGTAGCCAGAATCTGGAAACAACCCAGATGTCCCTCAGCTGAAGAATGGATACAGATATTGTAGCACGTCTACACAGTGGAATACTACTCAGCTATCAAAAACAATAATATCATAACATTTGCAGGCAAGTGAATGGAACTAGAAAAGATCACCCTGAGTGAGGTAACTCAGAACCAGAAGGACACACATGGTATATACTCACTTATAAGTGGATATTAGCCACGTAATATAAGATAAACATATTAAAATCCACAGACCTAAAGAAGCTAAATAACAAGGAGGACCTTAGGGAAGATGCTTAATTCTTATTCAGAAGGGCAAACAGAATATACACTGGAGGCAGCTGAAGATAGCGAACAGGACGGGAGTCTAGCATAAACGTCCTTTGAGAGACTCCACCCAGTAGGGGATTGAAACAGATGCTCAGACTCATTACCAAACTTTGGGCAGAGCGTGGGTCATATGGAAGAAGTGGGGACAGGACCCAGAGGGATAGGAGCTCCACAAGGACACCAACAAAGCCACCAAATCTGGGCCCAGGGGTCCTGCAGAGACTGATGCACCAACCAAGGCCCATGCACAGAGAGGACCTACTCAGATGTAGACCACGGTCTTCATGTGGGTACCCTAGAGAGGGGAGCAGGGGCTGTCGCTGAATGGGCTCTGTTTCTTGTTCTTTGATAACTTCCTTGTCAGGTCACAGAGGAAGAGGATCCAGGCAGTTCTGATGAGATGTGATAGGGTCAAATGGTAGGGGAGAGAGGTCCCCTTTCTGTCATCTAGGAGAGGGAGAAAACGCCAAAGATGGAGGGAAGGTGGGACCAGGAAGAGATGAGGGAGGAGGCTACAATAAGGATATAAAGTGAATAAATTAGAAAAATTTTTAAGTAAAAAAAAAAAATCCGTCATGCTTTCCTTTTAGGCCTGACACTTGTCACCATAAGCTTCCCAGTATGACCTAACCTTGGGGTGTGGTGTGGTTAGTGTTTGTGAACTTGGTGTACATCTAGAAATGTCTAGATGTACGGAAAGAATCCCAGCTGAGGGGCTGGCTTGTAGGCAAGTGAATGGGGCATTTTCTGCTTAATGGTCAGTGTGCAAATACCCGGGCCCCTAGGGGTGTTTCCGCTCTCAGGCGGGTGTGCCCAGTTATATAGGGAAACAGGCTGAGCAAGCCCGGAGTAAGTGTGCTTAGCCCTCCTCCACGGCCTCTGCTTCCGGTCCTGCCTCCAGGTCCTGCAGCTCGGCTCCTGCCCTGGCTCTCCTTGCTGTGGTCACGGTGTCTCCGGGCAGCAGAACTAAGTAGGACACTTCCCAAGCTGCTTTTCGCTATGGTGCTATCACAGCAGCAGAAAGCAAACCGAAGCAAGGGTTTTCCCTCAACCACCTGCGGAGCCAGTGAGAAGACGGCTGAAGCTCACAGCTCAGGGCCTGCTGAAGCCCAGTGCTCAGTGGGCACTAAGCGCTGCTGAGGATTTCTTCCATTTGTGTTCACTGACTCCTTCGAGTCTAACAAGTAGCAAGTTCCAACACTGCAGGGAAGAAGATGCCTACGAACTGAGAGCGTGGCTAACACCAGGAAGTACACTGCTTTCCTCAGGAATGGTCAGCCACGTACTCCTCCATTCGTCCAGATCCTTTTCTCTTAGGGCCACTGGTTTAGTCTTCAAACTGAAAAAAACCTTCAACTTTAGTAAATTTTACGCCCCAATTCCATTTCCAGAAATATTTTCAAATTCTCAGGGAGAAAAGTAGGTTCTTTTAAATGGTTTCAAATCTAAGATTATCGGCTTAATGAGTCTCAGCTTGGAAACACTGAGCAGCCTGTGCCACACCTGCCGGTACACTCAGAGTGCTGCTGCCACCTTGTGGTTAGAATGTAGTATTGTCTCAATCACTTTAATTCACTTTTACGATCGCTGCCTCATCCACGTTTTCCAGTAAAGAAAAGGTCTTTTTTTTGGTTCACATCTATGTAGCACAGGCTAGCCTCAAACTCACAGCAGTCCTCCTGCCTCACCCTCTAAGTATTCACTAACACACCAGGCTCTAGCATAACTGTAAAATGTATTAACTAGACGGAGCACAGTAAACCGTGGACACCTACAGTGAGCTGGTAACCACATCCAGATGTTCCAGACAAATTTTCCTGCTATGTTCACATCTGTGTCTTCCTTCGTCTTTCTTGTGTGTTTCTCTGGCCAGTTCCCTTTCCATACAAAGTGCAGAGGCGCGTTATCATTATCCTGTCTCCTCAGTCCTCATCTTAACAACTAAGTGGAACTATGTCCTTTTCTACCTCTGGTACCCTCAGACACTCGGAAAGCTCAGGTTAAAAGCCAGTGCAAGGGGCTGGAGAGACAGCTCTGTAGCTAAGAGTGCTGACTGCTCTTTCAGAGGTTCAATTCCCGGCACCCACACCGCAGTTCACAGCCATCTATAACTCCAATCTCTGACATCCTCACACAGACATGCATGTAGACAAGGCACCAACACACACCAAAGAAAACCAGATACTGTTTTAAAAGAAGTTAATTCAGCTTCCTCATGCTGACTGCCTACATTTGATGGCATTTTCTAGTTACTTCAAAAGATTCTTAAACGATACTGTAGGACAGGAAAAGCAGGTTTGCCCTCCTACTCAGGAGCTGGAGCTGCTGAACCCATTTTGCCTGAGTCACAGATAACTAACGTGTGTGGACACTTTTGTGTCAGCGTCTTGGACACTTTTCTCGGGGTCTCTGCTCTACTTTAACCTTTTAAAGTCTGTAGGACGGGCAAGGAGGGAAGGGTCATTCCTTAGTGTATGTTAACAGAACAAATCAGGTTGATTTGATGTTACTGGTGCCGTCTGCCATGTTAGGAACTGACAGTGCTGCACTCGCCAGTATAAAGGGGGCAGCTGTGCTCAGCATCAACCAGCTTTTCCTTTATAAGACAGAATTCCCTCCATCCTTCCACCAGGTCTAGAGTCCAGCAGACATGTGGAGAGTCCTGAGGTACTTCCCAGTCTCATCAGAAAGCCACTCTCAGGAATTCGATTTTGGCTGATATCATATGCACTAGAACAAAGAAAGATGCTGTTTTCTTAAGGACAGATTAGTAACAAGAGCAAAATGTTGGTATGAAAATGCTTCCGTGCTTTGTGGTCCTGACCTTGAACCCAGGGCCCTGTGCACGTGAACCGCCTATTACCACCTCGGTATACCCCAGCCTGTCTTGCAGATGAGTGTTTTAATCCTGAGAAAGGGTGGGCAGTAGATTAGACTCACTGCAGCTCCGCCCCCACAAACATAAATGAGGCTGACTAGCCGGGTGGTTGGGAGCCAGATGTGGGTGACCACAGCTGCTCTGACTTCCCTCAGGCCGCAGCACACATTCTAGAGTGAATATACAGTTGGCTCTCCTAGCTGCAGCTACTATGTCATGGCTGGGAAACTAGAAAGTTAATATATCAGCTACCATAAAAAGGCATTTTGTGACAGGTTATCTTATAACAAATGTTCTGAAAAAGTCACTAACTTCCCAAGTTACCTGAAGATGTACTTCTTTTGATAGGGAGAATCCTGGGTTTAGGCTTTATTGTAATGATCTCTTTTCCAACTTCTTGATCATCATTTTGAAGTTCGGGAAAGGAATTTCCAATCATATCTTCATGCTCATCTGGGGATTCATCTTCCCTGTTCTGAATAACAGGTTCCTGCTCATCTTTGGATAAATCACTGTTTACTTTCTTGGTTTTCAGAAAGGACAGTCTTGGAGAATTCTTTTCCTCATCATCAGATATATGAAAATCATTAACCTTTTTTCTAACTAGGCTTTCATCTGGCGAGGTATCTGAAAATTCACCTAAAGAAACTGAAATATGAAATAGAAAGGTGTTTTCAACAGTGTATTTTAAACATTCAAAGGTTATATTCCATTTGTATGAAAAGCAAGACTATATTCAGGAAGAAAGATACCTAGAAATAAAACAATAACCCTAAACAAGTGCAAATTTATTTTGTAACTCTTGAAAACAGCTAGATTGGCAGTTCTGAAATAAAAGTCTGAGTTTCATTAACTTATTCAACATATTTATCAAGTGCCTACACCACCATATTTATTGGTGGGTATGTCCCTCAGAGGAGCTCAAGGTAGCACCCGCTCCAAAATACTGCACGCTAATAAAGAACAAATTAACAAGACAGACGTGACATACAGCTTTTACAGAGAACATTAATTCCGTGAATATTGCAAAACAGCACACTTAATTTCAAGTTTAGAATTCTATACGCTTATATTTGAAACCTAAAATATAATGTTTTACTCGCTTAAAAGAAACCAAGTTAATGCATCGATGTGAGGGGTCTATTTCTTGTTGTTGCTGTTTTGTTTTTTTCAAGACAGGGTTTCTCTACATAGCCTTGACTGTCCTAGACTCACTTTGTAGACCAGGCTGGCCTTGAACTCACAAAGATGTACCTGCTTCTGCCTCCCTGAGCGCTGGGATTACAGGCATGTGCCACCACACATGCTATAGTTTTGAAAATGACCCACTTTGGTGGTTTGAGTGAGAATGTTCCCCATTGGCTCAGTTGCTTCACTTGGTCCCCAGTTGGTGGTCCTGTCTGGGCGGGGAAGAACATCACTAAGACAGGCTTTGGGAGTCCCAGGCCTTGACCCACTTCCGGTTTGTTCTCTGCTTCCTGTCTGCTGTTGATGTTCAGCATTCAGGTCCTGCCACCCTGCAACTTCAGCCATGCTGTCCCCACCTTGATGGACTCTCTGAAACCAGAGGCCAAAACAAACTTTCTTCCATAGGTCCCTCTGGCCATGATGTTTTATCACAGCAACAAAAAAGTAACCAATGCAGAAGTTGGTAACAGAGACCACAAAGTTTCTAACGGTTGCTGTTAGAAAGCTGATCATGCTATTTTTGGGAAATACCCTGGAACCTTCAATTAGAATAGAGTTAAACCCTATAAGGAGACCTTAAAGGACTAAAGTGCTGAGAGTAATGGGGACTGTGGAGGTCCAGCTCAAAAAGTTTCAGGAGGAAGCAAAGATTTTAACAGCATCTGGGATAGAGGCCATTCCTGGGATATCTCAGGGAAGAATCTGGAAGCCTTCTGCCCTTGTCATAGGACCTCGCCTGAGGATAAAGGTGCTGGTTAGTTCTCCTCAACTTGATACTCAGGCGAGTATCTGGGAAGAGGAAACCAGAACTGGAGAACTGCCTGCAACAGAGGCCCTTGGACATGTCTGTGAGGCATTTTCTTGACTAACTGATTGATGTGGGAGCCAGCCCGCTGTGGATGGTGTGATCCCTGGGCAGGCAGTCCTGGCGGCATAAGAAAGCAAGAGAACAAGCTAACACACTACTGTAGTGGTGTCCCTTCACAGTCTCCGCTTTAGCTCCACCTCCAGGCTCCTGGTTGACTTCCTGCTGACATGCCTCAAGGGTGGATTGCTATGGGAAAAGTAAGCCACATGCACCCTTTCCTCCCCATGCTGGTTTTGGTGTTTTCTCACAGTAATAGAAAGCAAGTAGTACACTAAATTAAAAGGTAATAGGCTAATCTCCTTGGTAGAGAAAACTTGAATAGTATCCTGTTGAATCTGTGGCATGGTTATTACTGATTTTACTTATGTACGTCTACAAGAAAAATGAAGGAGTGGGCCAGAAAGAAAACAGCTTGGAGAGAAAATCAGGACTAGGAAGTATAATGTTTCAGCTCAGCTTGTACTGACAGAAAGCAGATTTGGAACAAAGGGAAGGGTGTCCTCAGGGCACGTCCCCTCCCAGTTTAGGAGCTAAATTTTCAATTGTAAAAGAGCATAAGGAATTTTCTACCTCTGGAAAGCAACTTGATTTTTAAAAGATGTGATTCAAGACAGAAAGAGGTCTTCCGAAGATGGCAGCCAAACTTGGCAGTGCCACCCATTCAGTACTGACTCTGAAGATAGAAAATATGGAATAGTAGGGAATCATAGATTCTCCTCCTGCGGGCTCTAGAGTGTTCCCTAGGCCAGGCAAGCTGTGTCACAGAAGTCTCTGTGGAAAAGCCCTGAGAGGGCAAAAGGCCACTGTGTGTGAAATAGTGAAAGTGTGGCTTGGGCTGTGGTGGGGACCCCAAGATGTTAGTGATGCAGAACCACGAGGTTCCTGCCAGAGTGTTACATGTGGGATGAGAACCAGCCCAGAAGACAGTGTGTGCCTCAGGCAGAAAAGTGTGAGGAGCCAACCAGGTCCAGACAGGTGCGAGGGGCTATGTGGGGCTTCCGGTTTGCCCTACTGTCTTGCTTTCGTCCAGCATTTCCTCACTATCCCCCATTCTTCCCTTGCAGGATGATTTTATGTGTGTGTGTGTGTGTGTGTGTGTGTGTGTGTGTGTGTGT